GTGGGACTCCACTAACTTGACGAAGGATTGTTTCTTTTAAAACCTGAAACAAAGCCAATTGTACTTCAACCAAAGAATCAAAACCTGATCGTTTGATGGCGGGGAGATTAGGAGTGCTAATAAATTTATTAATTAACTAGCTACTCTCGCGCAGTTTCACTCGCGGCTCAGTTCCATTTGATCGTAGCGAGATGTTTTATAGCCTATAGCACTCAGGAATATTGTAGCTATCGATGAGTGAAAGAATTTTGGCAATCCGACCAGCGGTTCCAAAGATTACTCCCTACATACAAACTTACAAATTTTACCTCTTTATAATATTTGTATAGACTATGTCTCTGTCGTTGTGCTGATGCACCTAGCCGTAATGGTCGAGAGGTGGTCGAGAGGTTTGCGGGTACGAAGCCTGCCAAACTACCAATGTGACTTTCTCCGAGTTATATGTACTTTCTTAGTTTAGAGGAAACATCGTGAAGAAACCTGGACTTATAATTTCTAATTAAAAGTTTGAAATCGCCGATCCGCCTTGAGAAAGCGTTGTGGTTAATGCTCAATCCTTCTCCGTGTTAGGAGAGGCGTTTGCTCTGCAGTGGGCACTTTTAGGTTGATGATGATGGCATGAAATACTGCTTAAAATCTTCTAAGACAGTCTACATACAAAGTTTATCAGAGAGGTTTGACTAATTGACCGTGTTTTTGCTCTACTACCCACAAAAGTTCTTACAACTTAGACCCCGGAAAGATTATGACCCCATTTTCCGCCACCCCGTTTTGGGAGAGTGGGACACCCCCACCTAAGTTTTTACAAGAGAAAACACTTAAACCGTAGCAAATAAGCCTGCACATCTTCGGCAAACTTTACTAGGCCATAAAATCTATTTTTAGACCCACACACGAAACCCACCCTTATCACAAAGCAATAAGATTCACAATAAATCGTTAATAAATATTTATTTTGCCTCTTCACACCCCTTTTCCGTGACGTCATTGTTGTGTTACTGAATACTGATATTGGATTTTGATTCATATGTCAGTGGTGGCAAGGTTTATAATCTTTTGCGTGTGTAAAAGGCTATCATCGATTGTCAAGTTACAGTGACGTCATGTGGAGTGAGTGAGTAGGCAGATATGACGTCATGTTCGCTGACTCGATCACACAGTTTGTAGCGAAGGCACGTAATATATGAAAAAATCATAAAGTATGTTTGTGTACAATTTTGATGGGATTCTGGTATAAATGGAATTGATGACTTTCTTTATTAATGTAAGAGTGCTCGCAGGTGTGGCCATAAAATCGTCTGAGGTACGATTACTGGGTCGGGTAAAACTTTATTGATACCATCTTTTTGATGGTCAATTTCAAATGAATAATAATTGACTTTGACTATTTTCAACTAACATTATCCATGTCAGCCAGTTAGGTTAAGCGCAATAAGGTACCGCGGCCTCGGCTTGGAACAGGAGAAGGAACGGGGTGGTTTTTAGTCAGTAAAAGTCAGATAGTCCCTCTCACCGGTCCCAAGGCGAGAGAAATCATAAGATATCCGTCTCCCCTCTCAAAAAAAACCGTGTGGTGATGGCAGAATACACCAGTTCACAGACCCTTGTCTCTTAGCAAGTATTTAAAAACTTGAACAAGTTGCTAATTTGCCGCCCTATCTCATAAAAAAAATTACAAAGGCAAAATCGTTTTCATATAACATCGATAAGCTCTACTGAGCTACTTGATGCCATATCGATTTAATGACCTGACAACATTAATATCGATAAATGATACCACTCCACTATTATTGGAAATGCCACTCAAACAGATTTTATTATAATAGAGTTGTTCGTGAGTCGATTGTAGTGATGTTTTTATCGATAAAAAATATTATCGAATATATTTATTGTAATCATCGTTGTGCAGTCTGTTTTATTTTATACAGATAATATAGCTTTGAGAGCACTGAGGTGAAGTTATGTGATAACAACAGACTGGGTAGAAGACATTTGTTGCCATCCTTCTCTTTTTGTTTGTAAAAGAAAGGGAAAAAAAGAGGGCAAGGCCCCCGATCACCTTCCACTCTTCACCGCACAAAGTTTTCTACAGACAATCTGTGTCATTGGCGTTAAGTACATCCCGCTATCTCCTTCAAGGCTGGATAGGACTATTTCAAGCTTGCAGATTTCTGACGTACTATGTTTGAGCTATGGAGCGTAATGTACTAATGTTTATTCCACCTGACAATCTGAGTTCCAAGATTCGCTCCAAGAAATTTGTTTTTGGAAGGGGTATTGAATGTCACCCACCGCTTTTGGTAAGTCGAGAGAAGTGACTAAAAACCAACTCATTCAAACTCCTGCACCGAACGAAACGAAGCAAATTGCCCGCAACCCCTTTATGGCGTAGAGATGATGGTAAAGCTCTCTTTTGTAGAAACCAGAATCCAACAATCCGAAGGAAACTGTAGAGCACTCGGTGGCAGTATGACCTCAATTTCTTATTTATTTAAATAGAACGGCAGAAGCAAATTGCAATTTTTAAACATTTATAAACCACATTAAACTTTAAGAACAAAACAATACAATAAATTCAATCATATTCCATAGTATGGTGTTAATCAAGAAGAACTAGTTTTGCTCGACAAGAAGAAGGAGGGCTGGTGCTCATTACGCCCCAACCGCTTTTTTTGTCAGGGGAAAATTATCCAATGACTTCTCCCGGTCAGAGTAAAGCGAGAGAGAGTGTCAGACTCTTACTGACTAAAAACCCCCCGTTCCTTCTCCTGCTCGGGGCCGAGGCCACGGTGACTCATTGCGCTTAACCGCAACCTAGGCTGAACGGCCCAACCGGCAGATGTTCTGGGCATCAAGAATTGCGTAACGATTTTGGCATCCGTCATTACTGGGTCTGCGGACAACGAGTAAGGACAGTTTGCCGCCCGACCAGACGAATCACGTCCAGCGCGTGCCTCCAAATGATGTACCGCCACCCTTCCTCGAAGCCGAAGAAGGCACGAGGTAATTCTTAGTCACTCAAGATCCTGGCTTCCTCTAACCCCATTTGCAACGGGAAAAGTAATTTGATTATTCACCACCCGTCAAAAATAGAAACCAATTCCACAAAGAACTTTTACAGACTGTTCTGTGTATGCATTTATGGCGAAAAGCGAGTACCGTAATAACATGAAGCTATCAAATTCATATAATTATAGCAAGTTTGGACACCTGTCTCTGTACTAGGTCGGCTAGTTGGAAACTAATATTAGTTGGAGAAGTTTAATACGATATACTCATGTGTGGTAACTTTGTTAGTACTATTTGTTTTCAATACTAGACTGTGGTCCTGGTTTTGGGGTTAGGTTTGAAAATTATACCTATACATTCCTTAAAAAAAACCAGCGTGAAATAACCACAGCGTTGTGTTTCGTCGTATGAGTGCGGTTGCTGGAGACCCAATTCTTCCCCTCCCCATCTGTTCCTAATATCTAAAAGTCCAAAACCCTAATCCTTAAAAGGCCGGCAACGCACTAATAGGTCCTCTAGTGTTGCGGATGTACTTGGGCGGAGCCGATTTCGCCAGCTCGTTTTCTGACCTATTAAAAAAAAACATATGGAAGAACCGTGCTCCAACACTAATGGGTCTCTCAACCAAAGTGATAGCCAAACCTGATAGTAAACCAGCCAGGTTTTGGGTCAAGCTCAATAACGTACCGCAGCCTTGGAGCAGGAGAAGCAACGTAGTGATTTTGTCAGTAAAACTGACAGTCTCTCTCGTCCTACCCAGAACGAGTGTAGTCATGTGATAAAGCCTGACAGTACGTTTGTACGTTGTTACGTACGGCGTTTTGTGTTCATGATCTCACGTTCATGAACTAATCTCGGACACTCGGCACCAATAAACAGGTTGATCGGGACCACAACCGTTCTAATAGCAATGATATCTTCGCCAACAAGCTTTCTCAATATCGCAAAAATTTTTAGCCACCCACAGTGACCACGTTTAGTTATATGCATTACTTTTATTACTTATAGTTTTTATTATCAAATAATTAAGTTATTTTTATTTCTTTTTTTTTATCTAACAAAGTAGGCTTGTGTGCCTTTTTGCTTTTGTGTTACAAATCTATTAACATGTAGTTTTTTTATGTAGTAATATTACAAGACTTAGAAATTTTGCAAGTGCTGTGCCTTAAGTGGCAAATTCACTCCAGAGTTTAAGTTTCCTATTGCACACTTAAAATTTACTAGTGAATAAGTCGTTGGAGTGTCGTAATTAAATAAATAAATAAATCTCATGTATTAAAATCCTCAATTCTTAGGAGACCGTCAACGCACTTCTGCCTCTTCTGACACTGCAAGTCACCATGTAGAGCGCCAATTGCATTCCATCACGCGAAACGGATGCTCTTTTGTCGCTTTTTTAAAAAAAACAAGCTTTAATCAGGTAGGGCAATAAATCTCGGAACTATTTGTAGTACTTTGAAAATCAATTCAGGTAAGTCTATAGAAGGTGGGTATTTTTGTAAGTTTTGTTCTGGTTACAGAAAAAATAGGCGACGCAGTTTTTAAACATCATAATCGAGATCTAAACGCAGCATGGCACAGTCTAGGCAAACGTTGTGTAGGGCGCCCTCCAGCTAGGTGGACTGACGACATCCGCAGGGTGGCTGGCAGTGGTTGGATGAGAAGAGCTCAGTGGCGTGCAATTGGGGAGGCCTATGTCCAGCAGTGGACGACAACAGGCTGATGATGAAACGCAGCATGGGCAGGCCAGTCGCTTGGTGGATCGAAGACATCGTCAGAAGCGCGGGGAACCAACGAATTTAAATAGCATGATGCTGTTTGAAGGCCTTCGTTTAAGAGTGGACGTTTTCCTGATGATGAACCGTAAACCATATTAACGTTGGCAGCCACGGAGGTCACCGGTGACCGGCGGTAGCGGAGGATTTGCCTTCGTCAGTTTTCTGTCGGCAGTCAAAGACTTAAGGACTAGCCGATAAGATTAATAGACTTACCCCATCTGGACTCTGCTTCTTGACTTCACAAAACTCTTTGAGGACATCTTGAAGTTTTTTGGTTGAATCTGTAAACAAAATAAAAGTACTTTAGCGTTTTTTCAAAAAGCAAATGACTCCGGGCTGACTAGATATAACGCGTGCACCAATAAGAAAGATGTGGATCGACTTTTGCTGCGACGCGCTTCGTCAAATTGACCTAAATGCTGTTTTGTTAAGTAAAGAGCGAGATCCATACTTTGACACCACTGGACTCAACCAGAGTGATGCCATGGCCTCACCGAAAATCAGCTTGAAACCGCAACAGCTTGGTTTGTTTTATCGCCATATGAGCGCCATTATCTGAGCTATTTTCTTATCAAAAAAGCTGGTAATTCACTTGTTAAGTAGAAATCAGAACAGAAGAACTATTCTGATTTCAAATGAGTCTGAATGCAAATAGATTTCCTGTAAGCATAGGCATCCCAATCGTTATACCAAGGGAGTTACTGCAAATTCGTTGCCGACTTTTTGTGGGTTCTTAGGGATTTAAGATGAAGGGTCTTAGTATTTGAGAATGGTAAAAGATTGGGCCCCCATAAACCTCAATTGGTTGGATGAGAAGAGCTGAACATCGAGCTCAGTGGCGTGCAATTAGGGAGGCCTATGTCCAGCAGTGGACGACAACAGGCTGATGATGATGATGATGATGATGATGAAACCTCAATTACACGGTGAAAATCAACATAGGAGTTGTTGTTTTCTGTGAGGCCGTGGTATCAAGGCAGTCGAGCAGATCCATTCGTACTGAAGCATGACAAACTTGACATGATCCTCTCACACAAGAAATGGACGAATGGAATTACGTTAAATAGAACAAAATAGCTTAAAAACCGAGTAAAGTAGAGCGCAAAAGTTAGTATAACGTACTAATAAAGGAGATTGACACAAATTAATTAGGTTCTTCGATTTCAGTTTGTCCGTTTATAAACGTGTACTAATTGGCGGGAAAGGCTCCCATGCAAATAATGTATGTATGTAATCTATTTCAATGGAACAATCACTTTATAGAAAGGTGGAGTCGCCATTTTGTTATTTTATTTGATTAATTTTGCTATGTGATAGCTAAATGGAATGCAAATACATTTTAATGGAATAGAGAGAAAAGGATCAAACGGATAATCTGATGGTAAGCCGTAGATGCCGATGGATTTCATGGTACTCCGAAGGTTGTCCAACAGAAGGTCGGCAACGCACATTACAGCATGTGCGTTGCCCCCCCTTGGGAGTGAGTGCCTATACTTACAGAAAATCTATTTGCATTAAGACTCATTTGAAACCAGAATAGTTCCTCTGTTCACCATGAAACGTTTAAATTAAAAAAAAAATACCTTTAGCTACTTTAGCTTTACCGTTCCGATTTTTTTACGGGAAATTATCATCAACTTGCATTAACTAAAAATCGCGGGTTACTCACGTGTCTATCTTGAGAAAAGCTCTACTATATAGTTTCGAACCACAGAGGGGTTCTTCCTAATGAGCAGCAGCAAAAAGTGCGCGGCGACGTCGCGTCCGCGCACTTTTTCTCAAGATACACACGTGAGTAGCCCGCGATTTTTAGTTAATTTAATATGTCTCACGATAGTTATTATAAAAACATCAACTTGCATCTATCGACCTGACGGGGAGGACTGTTACTGACTAAAAATCACCCCATTTTTCTGGGCCGGGACCACAATAGATTACACCCGCATCTCCAGCCAAATTTTCGAAGCGCTCCCGTTAATACTGCCTCATTATTCCCCGTGTAGAACTACCCTTAGCAACAAAAACATTAAAAAACAGACACTAATACAATCTACCATGAAGAGCTTAGTGCAAAAGTTTAATTCGCTAAAACATCTACCGTGGAACTACAATATAATTGGACGGAATTACTAAAAGTTGAACAAAGCTATTACATTAGTGGCACATATCGTATGAACTATATTCATTTAGTAGTATCATTTACTTCAGGGAATTATTCTAATAAGACGAAATACTTTTTCGCAAATTTCGGTGCTTTTTATATGATTAAAATGGTCTCGTAGTTGCTTTTTTTTGATAAGTGAACACTTCCCGAGGGTATAGTAAAAGCTAACCAAGTGTGTGAGAAGAACTGGGGGGGTTTTTAGTCAGTAACAGACTGAATGGTCCTCCCACCCAACCCTGGACGAAAGAATACGTTTGATGATGTGGTGAAATAATACAGTTATTGCTTCGGTTTATTGCACACGTAAGTTATACAATATATCAAAATGGAAAAAATGGTATGACGTTCTGACAAGCATAAAAAGATTACATAGACAGTGGCGCGGAAGGTCGCCAATCCCCTCACAACGAAAGAAAAGTGTGGGAGAGCCATGCTTTGGTATGAATGTGGTGGTTCGAGCGGAGTGATGCCATAGTCTCAGAGAAAACCGGCGTGAAACAAACACAGCGTTGTGTTTCGCTATTTGAGTAAAGTTCCTGAAGGCCAAATCCTTCTTCATCTCTCCAATCCCTAAATCACTAAAACCCCATTCCCAAAAAGGCCAATCACACACTCGTAGTAACTTCTTAGGCATAACGAGTGTCCATGGCTGACGCCAATTGTCGACCTGTTCATAATGAAATTAACAGAAGCTGAAGAAGTCGTGGTGGCCCGGAGGTTAAGGCACGCTTCTCACGCATGAGGGTGCGATTTCCAAACCTAGCAAGTACCAATGTGACTTTTCCCAAGTTATATGTACGAGTACTTTCCATGATTATTTAGACACCACTGGAAAGTGAAGAAAAACATCGTAAGAAAACCTGGACTTATGATTTCTAAGTAACAAAATATTTCTAAGTAAAAAGTATAAGTTTCAAATCGCTAATCCGCTTTGAGCAACCTTCTCCGTGCGAGAAGAGGCCTTTGCTCAGCAGTGGGCTCTTATAGGCTGATGATGTGAAGTATGTGATGGCGTTACGATTATAAAACCTTCTCCTAACGGATGTCAATGATGTTATAATTATAATTTCCAATTTTACTTACACGATGTCAACTCCTGCAGCTGCTGGAACTCTGCAGGTGACAGCTTGTCCCATTGGAAGCTGCTGCCCGCGTGGGCCATCTCCGTCTGCAACAATCAACATAGCATTTAAGTGTGGAAGAGCCACGCTTCGGCAAGAATGGATTGGCTCGAACGGAGTGATACCATAGCCTCACAGAAAGCCGGCGTGAAACAAGCACAGCGTTGTGTTGATCAAACACATTTAGGTAATTATTTTCCGCGTTAATACCCGCGTAATTATATGTTGTAAATATAAAATGCGAAAGTTTAAAAAATAGTTTTTGTGTTATGAAATGCTATATGATATAAAATATCAATGGAGCCGAGCAGCGGGTGAAACTGTGTAGCTCGGATATATATAAAAATGAATCACCAAATATTTTGTTTGGTAAGATCAAATCTCGAAAACGGCTTAACCGTTTACTTTTATTTAACACGACCTCTTCTTGTGAATAAGAGTCCGTGACTTGAAACTAGAAAAGCTTTTCTCAGATAATTTAGTATGAACGTGATAGTTACTATGCAAGATTTCGTTTGTTATTGTCAGACGAAGTTTTTTTGGGAGCAAATCTTAGAGAAGAGGAGGTGGGAGATCTTAGTCAGGAGGTAAAAATTATTTCAATTCTGTGGGTGTTTGTTAACGAAACTAATAACAGACACCGAGATAGGTGATCCAGGCAATCACTGGTTAACAATATTACATTTATCAGTTATCTATTCAATCAACTATCTATCAAAGTCCACTACTGGACTATGGAATTCCAAAATTGGTTAACGGCTGTCTTTTTTCGTAGAGGGATATTGACCAAATGTCTTCTCTCGCCAGGTTTCGCAGAGACGGAGGCGGTGCGAGTGAATGAACTATCTTCCTCCGTGGACGACAAGCAAGGATAGCTCACCACCCGACCAGAACTAAGGCTGGAGCTTACGGCACTTAGCGTTCTGCGCGCCTCAAAGAGTCAGTAGACCACTACAGATGGTCGTAAAAGCCCAACACGGCCGGGAGGTGTAAGAATGGGGTGGTTAATAGTCACCTTGTGCGAGAGAGAGCATTTGATAATTTTCCACCCTTAAAAACAAAGACAGTCTTTTGTTTCTCAGGGGATAATCATCAAATGAGTTTTCCCGCCCAAGTTGGGGCAGAAAGGAGTGCCAGACTCTTACTGACTAAAAACCCCCCGTTCCTTCGCCTGCTCTTGGCTGGGGTAGCGGTACCTCATTTTACTTACCCCGAGTCTTCAATTTATTTTCTGTTATTTATATTATGTTCCATGTATATGCGCTGCAATTTAAACAAGTGGAGCCAACCGGTGACTCTTTGGTATCCTAGAGAAAACACCAGAAAACCAGGGCGTCCAAAGAGCAGATGGAGTGACGATATTCGGCTAACCCTTGGACCATTTTAGACCACAGTCGCGGAGGATTGAGCTCAATGGAGAGAGCTGGAGGAGGCCTATGCCAAGAGGCACGCCGAACTACGTGACATACTATAAATAATAAAATACTGTATTGTTTTGTTTTTTCAATGTGGTTCGGAATAAAAGGGCTTTATTAAAATTTATATGTCCCATATTAACAGCGCAAAATATCTCTCTATCTGTCCCTTGGTTACAAAAACGCGTGACGTTATTCCGAAGTCAACATAAATGAACATCCATTGTGATATAAGATGTTAACCTTACATAACACGTTAGAAGCTTGTCATCCATCATCTGCGCTGACCGGTCGATCGTAGCACTTATGCGGTATTAAAGATAATGGCAGCTCTGTGTATGCTATGGTGTCTTTTCAGTGTACTGGGTATTACTTGTGTATTTCATCGTTTATTAATGAACAATAGCGATCCAGCTCGGCTTCGTAGGAGTGCGAATGCTTCTATTATTTGTGGAAGAGCCAAGCTTCGGCACGAATAGGTCGGCTTGACCGAAGTGATACCACGGCGTCACAGAATACCGGCGTGAAACAACCACAACGGTGTTTTACTGTGTAAGTGCCCAATCCCGCCCCTTTCCCTATCCCTCCCCGATCCTTATATCCGCAACCCCTATCCCCAAAAGGCCGGCAACGCACTCGTAACTCCTTTGACGGGTGTCCATGGGCGGTACCATCAGGAACCCCGTCTGCTCGTTTGCCGACTTCTACCATGAAAAAAACTTACGGAACCTTCCTCTTCAATCAGTCTATCTATTGAAAAAATAGATGTTGCGTATTTTTAAAGATTTAAGCATACATAGGGATATAGAAACTGAGGAAGCGACTTTGTTTTATACTATGTAGTGATTATTATTTAAACCTTTGACTGCCGACCGAAAACTATTGAAGGCAAATCCTTCGCTACCGTAGGCCACCGGTGACCATCTTTTGCTGTAAGGAGAAATCATCAAATGACTTCTCTCTCTCGCCCAGGGTGAGACGCGCGCGGAACGCTACGCCCCGTACGCTCAGGTCTGGTTCTGGTCGTGCGGCGAGCTTCGGCCAGAGGCACGACTCGGGCGGCTGGAGCGGTAGAAGGATAGTTCCCTCACGCACTCCGCTCCCTCCTTTACGAACATGACTACCTCCCAGAAAAAGACGGCGACTTCCCAGTTCCTCGCTCTGCACCATGGCCTCGACTAAACTAAGGCTGGACGCAAGAGATCGCCGCCGCCGATCACTTTCCTGAAAGCAGTAGACGCGCGAGTCCCTTCGCTTCCAGATCCCATGTCGGTAATCCAGCAAGGAGGTTCACCGCCTCGCCGGAGATTGTGTGATAGCCACGGGCTATGCGAATGGCCATGACCCTCTGGGACGCGAGGCTGTGTGATCACAACGTTCGATCCGACCTATTCGTGCCGAAGCATGGCGCTCAACTGTTTAAATATCGAAAAAATTCTGAAGTTTAATTAACGGACTTAATTACGGGTGTAAGCAATAGATCTTAAAATAAACATTTAACAATTTTAGTCATCATTTCACTGAATTCTCATGTTTTTTTATGGAATTTTCCACCGTTTGCGTTAAGCAAAAAGACGTTAAAACATTTTGTTTAGCGTTCTTCCACGAATTTCCTCATTGAATTATTTGTCTAAGAATCTATGGTAAGTAGATTTTAAAAAAAGGTTTTTTTTAAATATTTCTTCTGATATTCGATTTAATTTCGGAAGAATGCTGGTACCATAAAACGGGGTGAAAAGACTTTTTTTTTAATAATTCCACAGGCCCTCAAAATTCCTATGATTCCTCTGGTGCGGTGTCAATGGGCGGCGCAGATTATTAACCATCAAGTGATCCGTCTGCTAGTTGACCTTTGATTCCATAATAAAAAAATATTACACCGGTCGAGGCAGCCCTTTCGCGCCAAAGCATGGCTCGCTCACACTTAAACCAAAGAACGAGAAGAAAGAAGAAAACTTTGAAGGAAATCTGGTGTCTATTCACCTTTTTCCACAGATTAAAAAGCCAAAAGCAACCGCCACCTAATCTGTAACCGAAACGAAATCAAATTCCAAATTCAAATCCAACCCCGTTCTATTTTCGATTCCAAACGTTTTATATTTAAAAATAGAACCTGTTGCCTGCGTTGCCAGTGACACCTACACAGGGATACAAGCATCCAGAAAATTCTTATCCCTCTCCCACTCCCACCCAATCCCATCCCCTTTCGTGTGGGATGATACTAATGGACTATTTGTATTACTTGATAAAACTTTTCACATCGGAGGCCTTCGGGAAATTCCGGGAGACTTCGGTCGTGTTCGAGAGAGGACATATTTATTTTTAGACTGAAAGATAATAATATAATAAATGATTTTCGATGGTTTTTGTACGAAGGAACGTAATTGGTTGATTTAAAAAGATGGCGTCGTTCGGTTATGGGCGCTTGGTGTTGTTGTTTGGAATAAAATAATTATTATTCTATTGGTAGGTATAACAAGGTTAAGGCGCCTGCTTCTCATGCATGAGGGTGTGGGTTCGAAACCGGGCAAGTACCAATGTGACTTTTTCAGAGTTATATGTACTTTCTATGATTATTTAGACACAACTGACATACGGTGAAGGTAAACATCGTGAGGAAACCTGGACTTAAAACTTCTAATTATAAGTTTGAAATCGCTAACCCGCATTGAGCAAGCGTGGTGAATAATACTCAAACCTTCTCCGTGTGAGGAGAGGCCTTTGCCCAACAGTGGGCACTTATAGGCTGATGATGATGATGTGGTATAATAACTTAATACATTTTTTTTGTTATCATCGCACTCTAAATATATCACACAATAAAGACAAATAATGCTTATTAAGGTTACATCTCCAACTTAAGATTGACTGTCATTTTTTTATGTTTTAATGTTTTTTTTTTGACGTTAAAACGTACCTGTTATTGCCTAATTGAAAATAAATGTTTTTTTTGGGGGGGGAAATCATCAAATGTCTTCTCCTGGTTAAGCGGGAGGGAGTGTCAGACTCTTACTGACTTAAAACCCCCGTTCCTTCTCCTGCTCTGGGCTGAGGTCGCGGTAACTCAAAAATGATTTGGCTTTCAAACTGTAGGGATATTACTCGTAGTAAAATCAGGTGTTTTCCGTGGACAATTGGACACCAACGTTTCGCAAGTATGCTGCCAGCCTTGTGGACACCTTTATGGATTTGAAGAAGTGGTTTGGCGATTGAGTTAGTACTAAGTAGTAACTTTCGGTAATCGTACGACGATTGTTTTCTGCAAAGCCGTGATATAACGGCCAGACCGGACATGACTGCACAGTTGACACGGTGACTGGACTACTAGCTGCCAGTTAACGTATCGCGGGTTCGATTCCCGCACGGAACTAGTCTTTATGTGATCCAAAAATTATTGTTCCGGATCTGGTTTTTTTGTGAGGGGAAAATCATCAATTGTCTTCTGGGAGTGTCAGGCTCTTACTGACTAAAAACCCCCGTTCCTTCTCCTGATCAGGCCGAGATCGCGGTGACTCATCGCGGTTACCTCGCAACCCCGTATAACATCAGCCCTATAGGGCCCCGTCTGTGGTAGTCCATTGGCTTTTTGAGGCGCGTGCGAAACGCTAGTTCCCAGTCTGGGTGTG